GAAAGAATGCTGAATGCGTCCAGCTGTGAATTCTGGTTACATAAGCACTGGCGCTGTTCTCTTGGCCTTCCGACTTCGTGGAGCCGCCAGCAGACTCCCGTGGCCTCTGCCTTCTAGCCCCCCCCTCCCCTTAGCAGACTCCCGTGGCCTCTGCCTTCTAGCCCCCCTCTCCTTAGCAGGATAACTAAGGTATGAAGGGGAGAGGAGGAGAGCTGGGGGAAACGCAATTTTCAGTTCTGTCCAGAGCATGGGCATCTAAGTAAGGCCCCATGCCTTGGCTAGCACCTACAGTTACTGTCAGGCAACCGTCTCTACAGTTCTCTATCCCCAGGTTCTCCTGGGCCCAGTGGAGTCCTTTAAGTGTCACTAGCCAGGTCTCTGGGGGTTTCCCTAGGCCTTGCCCACATTTAATGAATAGTCCTTATTTGATTCTTCTCAAATTACCAATTTGGAATGTGCCATCTGTTTTGGGGCCAGGACCATGATACACACAACTATGACAAAATGACTGCGGAGAGAACTGCACAGCCAATGTGAACTAGGTGGCATCCGAAGAGGGCACAGAAGGAAGTGAAGTCGGCTTCTGTCAGAAACAGATTGATTTGAAAGGGAAAAATGTAAGAAATCTGACTACAGAAATACAGAAGCAAATTACAGCAGAGCTAGCAAAAGGAGTTGTGGCCGTGCAGCTGTCTCTTGGCGATGTGACATCCAAGGACTACCTCCAAACCCTGCTTCTAGGACTGCCTTCAAGACTCAGCAGCAGCTTTTCAAATCTGTGCAACTAATGCATGTGTGGTGACGCACGCTTTAATCCCAGCACTCATGAGGGCAGAGACAGGCGGATCTCTGTGAGTTCGAGGCCAGCCTGGTCTACGTAGAGAATTCCGTGCTAGCTACAGCTACATAGTGAGACTCTGTCTGAAAGGGGGAAAAAATCTATTAAATGACTATAAGTAGTTTCTTTTTCTCTTTCTTCTTCTTCCTCCTCCTCCTTTTATGGACAGGGTCTTTCATAAACCAGACTGATCTTGAACCTTAAAGCATGTTCCACTGTGCTGGGGGTGGAACCCAGGGCTATGTGAATTTTCAGCAAATGCTCTAACTATTGAGCCCCAGCCCAGATCCAGCCAATTCTTTCTGTTAATCAGGAGAGGAAAAGAGAAAAACAAGAATCACAGAATAAACTGGGGTTTGTTATGTTGTTTGGTTTTACATTTCTCTGTGTTTCTGTGTGTGTGTGTGTGACAGAGTGTGTATGTGTGACAGAGAGAGAATGTGTATGTGTGACACACACACATACAGAGAGAGAGAGAGAGAGAGAGAGAGAGAGAGAGAGATTCCTTATTGCATGCTAGGCTCAAAGGACCTTGACATCGACTATTCTTTAAAAAAAAAAAAAAAACCGGTGGCTGTAGTCAGAGCAGACAAATAAATACCTCCAGCAAATGAGGTTAAAGGGCTTTGTTCGGCTCTGCAGATGCAGTTCCATTTGAAATGACTGCCCGGAGTAATGATTCTCTGCACCAATGGGAGGCCCTACCAGGTAAACAGCTCTGCTTAGCCCCCACTCTGTTTGCCCTGCAGTGTGAGGCTCCTGGCTCCTCAGCTCCTCCCACGATGAAGGCAGAGCCTTTCCAGGGGAAGGATATATTGCTTTGTCATGGAAGCCACTACCCACAAAGAAACCGAGTTCTTCAGGGTGGGGCTGGGGTACATCATGAGGAGGCTAGCAAGTAGTGGGTGGAAATCTCATCCAGTGACACAGGAATCCAGAGCTGTCTGCAATGGGCTGAAATTTAAGCCACCAGCCAGGTAATCCTGGGCTGCAGCTACCAGACTGCCTGGAATCTGAAAATGAAAACACAAGCATCTCATAGAAACACATCAATCTCTTCATGCTAGAGAAATGGAAAACGAAGCTCAGACTAAGGAAATTAACCGAAAAATGTCCTTTGTGCTCCAACTGGGAAAGGAGTTGGAATGAAGGTTCCACAGCACCGGATTTAGCACACGTAGCCGACTCTCCATAATTATGCAATTCAAACTATATTATGCAATTTCCATGATTATATGAATATATGCATTGTGAGGAAAATGAGGAATTAGACCAAAACTTTCCACTAACTCCCGTTAAGTAAATCACAGGTTGCTACCAATAATTGCCATGCAACAGAATGTACATTCTTTTGAGTTTGTCCCCCATTCTAAAATCAAAGAACAAGGTCAAAGCTTTGATCATAAACAATGATACATGCTTCCCAGGGTCTAGTTTAACACTTAACAGCTAGTTCTGAATAGATAGATCATCAAGAAAAAGGTGGCGCAGCCGGGCGGCGGTGGCACCTGCATTTAATTTCAGCACTCTGGAGGCAGAGGCAGGAGGATCTCTTTAATTCGAGGCCAGCCTGGTCTACAGAGTGAGTTTCAGAACAGGCTCCAAAGCTACAGAGAAACCCTGTCTCAGGGAGGAAAAAAGGGGGGGAGGGTGGCGCTTCTGCAGCAATTTTGTTTTTAATTTGCTCACGGTTCTGGGAAAGGGACCCAGCACAGGAGGGGTGGCCATCTGCCAGGCAGGGCTTCTTAAACAGTTTCCACGCTCGACCCCTTTTCACCCGATAAATTCTTTGTCCCCTCAGCTACACAGGCATGTAAAATAAGTATACAAATGGAAGTTTTTACTGATAATGAACAATAAGGAAATAAGGGAACTTCTTTTTTCTGAGACAGGCTTTCTCTAGCTTTGTAGACCAGATGGCTGTGAACTCACAGAGATCCACCTGCCTCTGCCTCCCGAGTGCTGGGATTAAAGGCGTGCGCCACCACCGCCCAGCAATAAGGAAACATTTTTAAGCGATTCTTTGGTATATTTATGACTTTACCATTTGTTTAAAAAGAAATCAAATTTGCACACAAATGAAATACATGTGCTTATTTATTTACATTTTTACATAAATAATTAAATATTGGCTAAATATTTTATGTTGTAGAGCACAGACCATCTGTAACATACACACACACACACACAGAGAGAATCTTTCTGTCTTCATTTCTTTTTTGAGAGAGGCTTTCCTGTAGCTCAGGTGGGTTTTAAAATCACTGTGTACTCAAGGCTGGCCTTGAATTCCTGACTCCCCCACCGTGTGCTGAGCCCACAAGCAGCTTCAGGGACAAGCAGACTTGACAGGCGCCCCTGCTGAGAACACCGTGTCCAGGAAATACACAGCACTTGAGATAGCATTGGGAACAGTGACTCACTCTGCTAAATGCATTTTTCTTTTCTTTTGTTCTTTCAAGGCAGGGTCTCTCTGTGCAACCTTGGCTGTCCTGAAACTTGCTTTGTAGAGCAGGCTGACCTGGAACTCATAGAGATCTGCCTTCCTCTGTCTCCCGAGTGCACCACCCACCACCGCTGCCCAGAAAGCTAAACTCATTCCATTTCTAAATTATAGTTCTTCCTTTTATGTGTGTGTTGTATATGCATGCCTGTAACCCAGCACTGAGATGGCAGAGACAAATAGATTTCTGGAACTCTCTCACTGGCCAGCCAGCCGAATGAAAACACTGAGCTCCTAGTTCAGTGAGTGAGCCTGCCTCAAAAGAAAAGGGAGAAGGCAGAGGGGATGGACCAGGGGCTAAAGGCGCTTGCTGTACAAGTCTAAAAACCTGAGTTCAAGCCCCATAATGCAAACTGTTGTCTCTCTCTGTAAATACACACACTGAAAACAAAAAAGCAGTCGTGTCCTGATTGGCTATCTTCTGCCATTGGCTTCTGTTTGTATTCCACTCACGGCATTTAATCCAGGTGCAGGCATATTTCATATTTCAGGAAACCTCACCCCAGTCTACAGATGGCACAGACCTCAGATCATTCAAAGTCAAGGAATAGATCAGAAAGAAGGGGGATTCGAAAGTATAAGCAGGAACTTAACAATAAAACTTCTATGCATGGGATGGGAAGACTACCCCAAAACTCTGATGCCAGAGCCAGACTTGTAGAAAACCCACCTCCTCTAGGGCATCCTATGACATCCTAACAGTCAGACCTCCATGTTTCTATGGCTTCATCTTTTCTATAAACTGTAACACTGTACAGGCAAGGTGGAGAGAACCTGCAAGTTTATTCTTCTGATGCTGGCTCAACTGCAAAGAAACCCATCTTAAAAGAAAAAAAAAAATGATTGTCAGGCTACACAAGGCCCGTGAGTCAGTCCTTTCTCCAGCCGTTCTGATTGAGCATAAAGGAGCTGTGACGCTTGCAGCCTCACCCAAGGCCATCAGACACTTTCTGATGACACCTTGCTGTGGAGAGATGATGGGTGTGCCAACTAGCTTAACTGTGATGATCATTTCAGCATGTGCACATATATCAGAATATATAGAGTTTCTACTCGTCAGTGATACCTTAATGAAACTGGAAGGGAAAGAAAAGCAGAATAAAAGAAACCAACAAAGAGCTGAAAATGAAGCTCAGTTATTACCGTGATTGCCTAGCGCACGCAATCCCCAGCACTGCATAAGTGCAGGCACTTACAGAAAAAGGGAGGGAGAGAGGGAGGGGGACAGGAGGGTGGGAGAGAGAGACAGAGAGAGAGAGAGCGCACTTGTCTGCCTGCCTGCCTTTGGGTATACAGCTATCATCTTTCAGTTTTTATTTATTTAGTTCTTTTGTTTTGTTTTGAGACAAGATTTCTCTGTGTAGCTCTGGCTGTCCTGGAACTCGTTCTGTAGACCAGACTGGCTGCAAAGTCAGAGATCCGACTGTCTCTGCCTCCTGAGAGCTGGGATCAGCCACTGCCACCGAGTGTCGTTTTTCAGCTTTTTTTTTTTTAAGAACAAATGAGGGGCTGGAGAGATGGCTCAGAGGTTAAGAGCATTGCCTGCTCTTCCAAAGGTCCTGAGTTCAATTCCCAGCAACCACATGGTGGCTCACAACCATCTGTAATGGGGTCTGGTGCCCTCTTCTGGCCTGTAGGCATACACACAGACAGAATATTGTATACATAATAAATAAATAAATAAATATAAAAATTTAAAAAAAGAACAAATGAACATTTTGCATTTTATTATTTTCAGGGAAGATGCACAATTTCACTAGAAACAATGCTTTTTCTTAAAAAGGCCCTTTAAAAAAAAATCTGCTGTCCCAGATGAAAAGTCTACCCAGCAAGCACTGGGCCAGTTCTGTGAGGAGGAACCAGTGTGGTGAAAGTTACCTACAGGAAGTTCAGTGCAGAGTTCTCCACAAGTCTTGTATAGTTCCGAGAGGCTCCAGTTCCTCAGACTAGGAAGCAGGTAGGCTCACTCCCCAGGGGGCTGCATTTGCTTACAGAACTCCTCAAACTGCTGCTGCTCCAGCTCTGTCATGACTCTGTTGAGAGCGTAGATCTCTGCTCTTTGTCTTTGCTTCAGCTCCTTTTGGGCAGATTTCTGCTTAGCCTTCTCCACGCTGAAGGCAGGTTCTTTAACTTTGGATTTTTCTTTCTGGGCAGGTGGATCCATGGCTTGGCTTCTGAGTGCTGTTTGGTCAGCTCTGACCCGGTCTCGGGCTCCCGGTCTCGAGCTCCCGGCCTCCGCCATGTCGCAGACCAGCCCCCACACGGGGATTAGCCTCGCCGCCTTCCCCTTCCGCGGGACCTGAGCGCCCAGCCCTGCTGCCCTTCAACTGGGCGGGCCGCGCCCTCGTTTTTGAGCTTTTAATCGTGGGCACTACCTCGCTTGTCGTCTCAGCACGGGAGGTGGAGGTCACAATATCAGAAGTTCAAGGTCATCCCCAGCTGCCCAGCCAGATCAGACCAGCCTAGGCTGTCTCAAAACACAAACAAACCAGGTGGTGGTAGAGCGTGCCTTTAACCCCACCACTTGGGAGGCAGAAGCAGGCAGGTCTTGGTGAGGTCGAGGCCAGCCTGGTCTACAGAACGAGTTCCAAGACAACCAGGGCTGTTACACAGAGAAACCCTGACTTGAAAACCAAACAACAAAAACCGCAAACACAAAAAACAAATATAACAGATACCTTAAGAATATGGGGGCTGTGCAAACATAAACACCTAAATTTGGAAAACATGGGTGGTGCGTGCTTTAAAAAACACCCAGGAATTGAGACACATGTTCATCCTAGCTTTGGGAGGGGAAAACAGAACCTCAGGTATTTGCCGGCCAGTCAGTCTAGCCAATCAGCGAACTCCTTATTCAGTGAGTGCTCTCATCTCAAAAAATAGGGTGTCGGCAAAAGAGGAAGACATCTGGTATCAGCCTCAGGCCTCCTCATACACATTCACAGGCATGCCCATATAGCACACATGTGCACACACATACATAAACATGTACACATGTATCACGCAGAGAGAGACAGAGAGATGGATTTGAGTACACAGCTTTCATCTCTCAGTCATGAATACTACAAACCTTTCATGAATTAGTAAGACGGTGATTCCACCCACTACTGAATGGAGAACAACCAAAGAAGAACATGCCACCTCTAGGTGCGGTGCAGGAGAAAGAAGGTGGACAGTAGATATGAGGGAGAACATAGCCGGAGGAATAGTCCAGACTGAACCAGGCCATGAAAGGTGGTGCGGGGGAGGGGGGGCGGCAAGAGGACGAGAGAGAGAGAGAGAGAGAGAGAGAGAGAGAGACAGAGACAGAGACAGAGACAGAGACAGAGAGACAGAGAAAGGGGGGACCTGGAAGACAAGAGGCCAGGAACAAGCAGGGAAACAAACAAACAAACAAAAGACCTGCATAGCCAAAATGGCTGGGTTATACTGGGAAGAGAAGCTGGGGGAAGGGACCCAGCCCAAAGCCTGGGCTGGAGAATTTAGGGTAGGAGGTGGGGTATGCCAGCTAGGATGACTCTATAACAGGTACTGAGAGATGCTGGGAGAACCTGGTGACCAGGTTCACTTTGATATGTTAAATAGGCACCTTAACCATTTGTCCTGAGTTTGAGACCTAACACTATTAGGTGCATTTTGCTTTAATTCAAATATATCACTAAATGAAGAATGTATCATTTAAACATTTAGCACTGTATTCATGATTTTAGCTTTTAAAAAATAAATGAAAAAGCTGGGCAGTGGTGGCACATGCCTCTAATTCCAGCAATTGGGAGGCAGACGCAGGCAGGTCTTTGTTGTGAGTTCGAGGCCAGCCTGGTCTACAGAGTGAGTTCCAGGACAGCTAGGGCCACACAGAGAAACCCTGTCTTGAAAAAAACTAAAACAAAAAATAAAAAAGAAAGAAAAAATTCTTAAAACATACAGATTTAGGGGTCAGCAAAATGGCTCAGTGGGTAAAGGTACTTGCTGCCAAGACTGATAACCTGAATTTGAATTTGGTTCTTGGAACCTGGAAAGAGAACCAACTCTCATAAGCTGTCCTCTGACCTCAACACACTCATGGTTGATTGCATATACCCTCTTCCCCAAATAAGTGTATATTTTTTAAAGTTCAGATTCAATCCTTGGTTTGAATCTCTCATATTTGGTTGGTACTTTGGCTTATTTTTCTGGCTCAACCAAGACTAAACACAAACTAGCATTAAGGCAGATTTGAATCTGCCTTGCCATCTGTCTTAGTTAGGGGTTTCTATTGCTATGAAAAGACACCGTGACCACAGCAACTTTGATAAAGAAAACATTTCATTTGGGTAGCTTGTTTACAGTCTCAGCGGTTCAGTTCATTATCATCAGAGTGGGGAGCATGGCAGCGTGCAGGCAGAGGTATCCGAGTCCTACATATTGCAGATGTCAGGAAGTCGACTGACACACTGGGCAGTATCCTGAGCATAGGAAACCTCAAAATCTGCCCCCACAGTGGCACACTTCCTCCAACAAAGCCACACCTCCTAATAGTGCCACGCCCTATGGGTTATGGGGGCCAATTATATTCTAACCACCACAGCATCCCTACTATTTTGAACTGGGGAACACTCCTTAGCTCTATGTGCCTCAGTTTTCTCCTCTAAAATGGATGTTTTAGTTAGACCTCTATTGTGGAGAGAAATTATTTAAAAGGAAGTAAGATTTATGGTTTTGTTGTAGAAATTGGCGATCACAGTCTGTGCCCCACCCAAGGTTTGACCGCTCATCCTCAATAAGACTTTTTGTTGTGTTTTCTTAGTTTTTCAAGATAGGATTTGTGTGTGTGTGTGTGTGTGTGTGTGTGTGTGTGTGTGTGTGTAGCTTGGAGCCTGTCCTGGAACTAGCTCTCGTAGACCAGGCTGGCCTCGAACTCACAGAGATCCGCCTGCCTCTGCCTCCCGAGTGCTGGGATTAAAGATGTGAGCCACTGCCACTCAGCTTTCAATAAGATATTTAAAAGAATCTAATTATCAGGCCCCCCAAGAAATTCCTTTTCCCAGCATTGGGCATTTACACACACACACACACACACACACACACACACACACAGTGCTTCTCTCTGTTTTCCTGAGATACATACTTGGCAGTTTGGAATAAACTTTTCCATTTTTCACCCATGTTTGGGTTTCTTTCCTGTGCCCATTTCATTCACAAATTAGTGATGGAAAACAGAAAGGTGATTTATTCAATGTGGTCACGTCAGGAAGAGGGACAGAGAGATCTACTAACTCTGCCAAGTACGTCTTTGAGGTCCTGAAGAGAGCTGGAAGATTAAATAGAGAGCCAACGATGTGCACACCCAAGCAAGGGTCAAGGTGTGGCCCCACCTACCATGTGGTCCCACCTACCATGAAGTCCTACCAACCATGAAGCCCTCCTTGTCTGGGCTTGGGTCTCATCTCGTTAGAACTGAAATCTCTTACCCAGAGTTAAGTTCCCCCTCTAGCTGGTGCCCTTTCCTTCTCCCAGCACGAGATTCCTGGGGGATTTCTCCTCCCTTTGGGGGCTGTTGTTTCTGTGTCCAGCAGTCGGATTGAAAGTATCTTTCAGCCAGGTGGTGGTGGCGCACGCCTTTAATCCCAGCACTCGGGAGGCAGAGGCAGGCGGATCTCTGTGAGTTCGAGACCAGCCTGGTCTACAAGATCTAGTTCCAGAACAGGCTCCTAAACCACAGAGAAACCCTGTCTCGAAAAACCAAAAAAAAAAAAAAAAAAAAAAAAAAAAAAAAAAAAAAAAAAGGAAGTATCTTTCATTTCTGCCAGGCCTGTTGCAATCTCACAGATTTCAGTTGGTGGGTCATAAGAGGCATCTGGGGGTGAACATCATGGTAGCAGGGGCATGGAGGAGCAAACTACTCACCTTGTGGTGCCCAGGGAGGGGCCAGGGCAAATACCGTTCTGAAGCACACCCCCAGGGACTCATGTCCAACTGGGCCATCCCGCCCACAGCTTCCTCCCCGTCTGAAAATACTGCTCTCGGATGATGAGTAGGCTTTTAACACATGGGTCTGTGAGGACATTTTTATACTACAGCTGTAACAGGAGACAGTAACATTTCACTGAGTTCTTATAAGGGTAAAAGGAAGTCGCGTGTTCAAAGACGGCATGGCTCACGTAGATCAGTTTTTCATTATGGCAAGAAAATAGCAAAGGCTATTTATGCAGAAAACATAGTTTAATTAAGTCAGTTCGGGAGGCTCAAGGGTACGGTGCTGTCAAGGGCTCAGCTCTGAGAGAGGCCTCTTGACTGTCTCACGTCATAGCAGATGGCCACCACAGCAGCACCCCTAGGAACACGTGCTGAGAAAGCAGAAAGACTGTGTGGGGGCCAAGGAAGCACTAGCCTCAGTCACTCCCGGCCGCCTAGGCTCCATCTCTCGGAGGCTCCTCCTGCTTCTGCTTTGCCACACTGGGGACCAATCCTCACGGTTAGTCATTTCCTTTGTCTTGCTACCTGGTCAGGTTTCATAGCTCGGTACTCGGTCTTTTATTTCAAATATCTACTTACAAAAAAAAAAAAACCCCATTAGCTTAAGAAAGCCTCCATTTGGACATTTCTGGTGTCAATTGGTGACACATTCTGACATGTTTCCAATTGCAGCAACACAGTACAAAACACTGTGAGGGGCTTTCCAGTGTTTTATAATGTGGCTTTAGTCAACTGCAGGGTACAAAGGGAGAGGCCATCTGAAATGCATCTTTGTCTTTATTATGGTCCCTTAAAATATGATTTGGGCAGTATAATTTCATCGTGAGCTCCCTTTGCAGGCAGAAAAACATAGGAGCCCTTTGACATCAAGTAAGAGATATATCTAGATTAGAATACAAGGAGAATTGGAAAAGCAAATTTAGGCTTTCTTAAGATAATGTTCTGTTATAGGTAGGTATTTGAAGGGTTTTGTTTGCTTGTTTTTCTGTTCCGAATCAAAGGAGGAAAATAACTTTGTTGCTAGGAGAAGGTGAACATCTGTGACTGATAGTTATGATCCTGTAAGAATGCTGCCTATGTTAGGACATTAAATGGGAGCTCAAATGCATATTCTTTGGGGGGGGGCAGGGAATGAGAAAGGACATGTCACAAAGAGATTTTGTTCAGCCATAGAGAAGGACAGAGTCCTGCCGCCCGCAGGAAAATGGATGGAATCGGAGATAATCACACTCGCTGAAACAGTGAGTCTGAGGTGAGCTCTGACCTGACTGGGAT